AGGAGACAGAGGGATCTGAGGTTCATGACAGAACTGTCTGGGCTTGGGTGATTTGGGGAGTACAGAGCTCACCACTGAGTTATCGGTGAAGACGTCAGGGTTGTTTTCGTAGATAAATTTCTCAACCCGCAGCTGCCGGAGCTTAAACATCTTGGAACCACGATTAGTGAGCAATGACAGTTCCTCCAGCATAACATCCCTTGGGACACTTATCTTCTTGCCCAGGTTCAAACCTGAACTGTCTTGCCCACCTTGAGAAGAAGGGAGGGGAGGAGAAATGAAGCAAGTGCAGGAACTGTTTTGGGTATAGTAAGTCGTTGTGTATGCTTTCAATTCAATTTAACAAGAGAAAGGCATATAACCTAGACCAGCCCCTTATCTCAGAGCATTTAGGGAAGTGGGGAGTATTTGACACCAGAACAGAGTCTTTCCCATGTTAGGAGTGAGTTTTTACTCCCAGGCTTCAAGCTAAGAAGAAAGGGGTACAAAGGAGAGTATAAATGGGCTAGGGACTCGAAGGGGCAAGGACAATAGAGCAGAAGAGGGGGAACATGGAAGTGGGGGGAGGATAGAGCTGAGAGGACAATACAGAATAAAGGGTAGGAGAGGGGAAGAATGAATTTTGGGACAAATCTGCCTGGATGTGGTCACTTCAAGATAGGGAAATGCCCTTCATTCCATCCAACTGCTCTGGGCACTTATAGCAGTCCTTGCCATCCATGAATTATACTACAGGGGCACCCACCCAGTCAGTTCAACTATTAGTGATTCCCAGAGCCTCAAAAGGATAATGCCTTGTGGAGCTTTTGTCAAAATGAAGCAGAAGGGATGTAGAGTGACCATCCTTAAAGGGTAGACCTCCTATACCAGAGGCTCCCTCTCCTAGGAAAATTCCTGCCCTAATTCCCAGGACATATGGACTTATGATACTGCTCACAGATGGTGTGCCTGTCTGCGTATCTGTCTGGGGAGGTGAGGGAGAGGGAGGGACTGTTTTATGTGGAGGTGTCTCTGGCCTACCTCCAGTGAGCTCCATGATGAGTTTGCTGGGTTTCCGCCTCTTATTTGGGGCTGGAGTTCCTGAGAGTGGCATTATAGAAGATGTTCAGGTCAGCCTGCTGGTAAGTCTAGAGAATGGACCGAAAAGAATAAGTCTTTACAACTGCCTCTATCCCCTTTTTAAGGCTTCTTTCTTTTCCTCTTCTTATTACATAGGTGCTCTATACCCTGTTTCTTCCCCTACTCCCCACCCAACTGACCCAGGGTTCCATGAGTAACCCCAGCTAGCATAGGAAAATATGAAAAAGGCATGACTTTAGACAGACTCCATTGCCTTGGTGTGATTCCAAATTCTGAGTTAGGACTAGGGCTAGTGATAGGTTCACACTAAAGGGTCAAGAAAGTGCCTGAGAGGGCTGGAATCTGGAGCCCATTCTGCCAAGGCAAATGAGTTTCTGCCAAAAATATTTCCTATGGAGAGAAAGAATTGTCCATTCTCTCTGTCGATTGGACTTTGCCCTTAAAAGACAATTGAACTCCCTTCTCCCAACACTCCAGCTCCCCTTACCCTAACCCTAGGGGTCTCCCCTCAAGGGTCCCTCTGATCCCTAACTCTGAATAGTTCAATAATCTCAAAGGAGCAGGAAACTGGATGAGGAAGGCAGCAGTGTAGAAGTCTCTGTAATTGGATCTGGGAGCAGAGTGGGAGATGAGTTGGAAGAAACATCTGCCCCCAGCTCTACTCTGGGCATGGGCCCCAGTCCCTCCCAGACAGAAATGGCAACTCAGCACAATCTCTACTTCTGCTCAATCCACCCCCCCCACCCAACTCCACCCCAGCTACAGCTTTTATATTTTGCAAGGGCGAGCCCGCTAGTCAGGTTAAAGTTAAAGCATTTTGATGAATTTATCCCCACCTCCTTGAACACCCTCTCCTAGTTCTCCATTCCCACTCAGCTCCAGACTTTCTGAGCCCCTTTTCCCCTTTTTCCAGTGCCCTTCCCCCATCTCTTTAGCTCAGCCAACCTCACTTCAAAGCTGTCCAACCTGCATCCTTCATTCCCTGCTCCCTAAACTCCCTGGCTCTTCTTCCAATCTTCCTGATGATCCTTACTTCATACATTCTCCTCCCGCGCCCCACCCCCCATGGGACAGCTGGGTGAAGAGGGTGGTGTGGCACTCACCAAGGGTCACAGCTGCAGACAGAGACACAGGACCAGCCCCACTGGGAGCTTCAGACCCCCAGGCTGAACAGGTTGGGAGTTTGTGGCAGGAGCCGGTATGGCGAGTGTCTCCCCCAGGGGTCCAGTGGCTGTGGAGAGCTGAGCAGCTCTGACCTGAGAACCTGAGCTGGGCGGGTGTGGGGGCGGTGGAGGGGGGGGGTTATTAATAGAGATGATGAGTGAGAGCAGCTCAGATGGCATTGGGGAATACTGAGACCCTGGGCCTAAGACCCCGCCCTCCAGGCGCAGAGAGGACTCTTGGACTCAACCAACTGAGTTGTCTGAGCTGTATTCAAGACTGATCTGAGCCCTGTTTGTCCATCTTCCTCTCCCCTATTATCTAGAGACAGAGATCTAAAAGGCTCCTAGGACAAAGAAGCCCATGGGATGAAGTGAAGGGGAAGGGAGAGGTGAAGAGATATTTGGGTCTTATTTTGGAGAAGAAGATATGGAGGCCAACAGTGACTCCATGGGGGAGCTGGAGGGAAGTGGAGGGGGGGGGGGTTTGAGGTGTGCAGAGGGAACCTGGAAAGATCAGTGAGGAAAAGAAAAGCGATTTCACTAACTGAAATCTTAGATGTTCTGAACACGTAGAAAGCTATTCTCGTTGAAGGAAGGCAGGTCTCACCTTCAAGTAGATCCCTATCTCCCAGGGGGCCCCTGAATGAACATCAGACAGACCCCCAGGGCTCATGGGTCCAGCTCTTTCCACCCTCTCCTTATACAATCTGCACCTTCTTTCCTTTTCTCCTGTCTAATCTCTGCTCCAGAGTTTTCAACAGCTTTTTCAAGAGAGGGCAGGTGGATTCTTGGCCCCCCAGCTCTTATAAGCCAAACGTTTTTGTGAGTGCTGAGTCTGGAGCTCAGACGTTTTGGATGACAAGACCCAAGAAATACTTTCAGGTTCTCCAGCCCTACCAGCTTTCTTTGGGTCTCCCCAACTTTCAGGTTCTTTTACCTGACTTTGATTCTTTTTTTTTTTTTTTTTTGCCTGGGTCTCCTTATCTTACTCAGGCTGGAAGTGCCAAAGCCACTGGTGAGCTGACCCCACAGCTGATCAGACTGGAAACTTTGATTTCAGCTTCTGACCTGGGTGGGTTCACCCCTCCTGGCCCAGTGGAGCTCACCATCCTGGGTCCGGATTTAGTCCCAAAGCAGCTCAGAATTCCTGAGCTCAAGTGATTCACCAGCCTCACACTCCCCAGTAGCCCTGCCAGGACTTCTCAATCTTAAGCCAGAAGTCCATATTATTATTGTTACTATCATTTTATACACACACACACACACACACATATATATATATATATATCATTATTATACTACCCTATACTATCCAGCTAATTGAGCCGTTTGAGAAAATTCTATTTTGTATCCTCCTCAAACCCTGCACTTCACCCTGTTCTGTCTATACCTGCTCTAGCACTTTCCATTGTATTTACATTTGCCTCCGGGATCTATCTCCCAACACTCTTTTTGTCCATGTCCCTGACCCTTTTCTTGTTGAGCTTTAGCTACTTTAGGGAATGGCTCCCTAAATCCCGGAACACCTCCTGCCACCCTGAGGTCTGCATTTTTGGGGTGCTACCCAAATCAACCTGGGTTCCTACTACCTGTCCTTTACTTTCTGTCCTCATTCCTACCCACCTACCCTGATTCAAAGTTTAAAAAAAAAAACCCAACCCTGCAAATACTGGTTTCTGTGGTTGATTAGAACCACCTGGTAAGATGGGAGTGCCCATATGCTCTCCTGCCTACACCTTAGGTTCCTGTGGGAATTTCATGACAGCATGGACCTTTCATGGAACCTTGGGCTGATTGGTGGCACAAGCATGCCCCCTACTGACAGGATAGGAAGTGTGGCACTCTCTCTTCCCTAAGAGCCCCCCCCCCCCAAAGTAGTTCTTTCTAGGCAATCTTGGACTTTCTTTGCTATCACCAGGCCCACCCCCAAGATTCCCAGTGATGGACAAAAATATAGGGACAACAGGACTTGTAGTCTCAAAGATCTCTCAGTTCTAGCTGCAGAGCCAATTCTCTTGTGCAGTACTTGAGGGAAGTAGAGAAAGTATATGTGTGTGTGTGTGTATGTGTGTGTATGTATTACTGGAAGATGATGGAGAAAAAAAAAAGGTCCAAGTAGAATGAATAAGAAGAGGAACATGGGGAAGAATAGGGAAGAGGAAGTAGAGGGATGGGGAAAGCAGGGAATGAATAGGAACCAAGGGGAGCTGAAAAACAAGTGAAGAAGAGGTTGTGTAGAAACTGGGGACAAAGGCATGATTGAGAGGCAAGGTAACTAGTAAGATGTGGAATACAAGTTTATTACTGTGCACAAATCAAAGTAGAATGACTCACACCTGAGACATAAGGGAAACAATTTTAAAACTAAGCAGCAGAAGTGGTTGGGGGAGGAATCCCTAGAGAGAGCGTATCCTATATTCTGCTCCCCTTCTTCTTAACCCCTCACCTCCACCCCTGGCTCAGCGATGAGGGTCTAAAGCCTAAAGCAGGGAAATAGGGACATAAATCCTATGGGAATGGGAAGGGCCAGGAGACTGTGGTTCTGAATATTTTTCTGCCCCTATCCAGGTGTTCATAGTGCCCACAACAGTGATACAGACTGAAGGATAGACACAAAGGAAACAGCACAAGCTCCGATGACCTTCTCCCGCTCTACTTGGAGGCAGCGAGGTGATGCAGTGGATAGAGCACTAGGCCTGGGGTCAGGATGATTTGAGTTCCAATTCAGTCTCAGACATTTACTAGCTGTGTGATGTGGGGCAACTCACTTAACTGCTATTTGCCTGTTTTCTCATCTGTAAAATGGGGACAATAATAGCACCTGCCTCCCAGGACTCTGAGGCTCAAACGAGATAATTGTAATCAGTGCCTGATACATTGTAAGTTCTGTACAAATGTTAGCTATTATTATTGTTGTACTTTACCAATATACACTCTACTGTCATCCCTCCTTCACTCTGCTAACAACTCCTGTCTCTAAAGTTCTGTCATACTTCCCCTCTCCCAAACAATCTGTCTTTACCCACTTTCATTCTGCCAACACCCATTCTCACACTCAAGCACTTTGCCTCACTCTGACCTAGTCATGCCAGCTTCTCTTTTGCCCTCAGTTTCTGTTCCAAGCACCATGTCCTAGAGCAGCAGCTCCTTTCTGACTTAGATCCGTGAGGTCAAGAAGCCAATGGTTCATCCCTGCTCAGAGGAAGTTTTCCATTCTTTACAACCCACTACTCAGGTCACATTAACATAGCCCCTTGGAGATTCCCACTCTCCTCCCATGCTGAGGAATCTGTCTTCACTCCAAACAAACTTATTCTATCTTCTTTTACCTCTCTTCCCTCTCCAAAGTTGCCCTGGGTCATCAGTTTCTTTACTCCTATACCCAACCCTTCACCCACCCACTCCCCAGTAGCAAGAGTGTTTGACTGAGATCTAAGGAAGGCTAGGAGTATATACTGGGAGGAGAAAAGGTTTTAGGGATGAGAAAGCCATCTGAACAGGTATCCTTATTCCAAAAAACGTGTCTCTCAGTTTTGTAGGGTACTATACAGATCACCTGTGAGAGATAAACAAATGATCTCTCAGCTTCTCTTTAACAAAAAAGGCTTTTTTTTTATACATGACCTTAGAGCAGTGGGTAGAACCCAGCTTGGAACTTGCCTCCCTATTCCTCCTTACCTTAGGTACACACAAACACACTGGCCCCAGGTATGAGCCAGGTTTGGGGAAGAGGAGAAAGGAGGGGCCCAGAACAAACAAGGACCAGAACCTGGTCTCTCTACTACCTGCTAGGCAGCAGGTTTCTTCTCTCATCAGTTACCCAGGCCTAAGGCTACAAGAGCAGTGCCTTCTCTTTGCATTTGAGTTCAGTCAACTCACTACTTGTAAAAGGAGGCCAACAGAAAGAAGCAAAGCATCAAAGAAGAGAGACACAAATAGATGGACACAATAAAAATAAGTAGGGAGAAAAAGGCAGAGAGATGGCCAGAGACACACAAGCTGGGGAAAAAAAAAAGAGGTGAGAGATATCAAAGCAGAGAAAGCTAGACAGATAGAAAGTACCAGGAAAGGAAGTACCAAGCCTACCCTGGCAGGGGAACTTTCTCCAGGTATCTAGAGAGGAGGATTCGGGGTGGCAGAAACAGCTCTGAGACCTTGCTATGTGCTCTATTTTCTGGCTCCCTTGGCTGGGCCCAATTCACTGATGGCCTGCTCCAGGCCTCCACACATGTGCCTGCAATCCAGAGCTGGCAGCTGAGAACCGGGGTCTGGCCACCTGGAAGCTACAGGAGCCAGGGGAGGCTCTGAGACCTCGAGCAGACTCTGGAGTTGGAGCTGGGCTAGAGGCATTAATAGGAGCTGGGGGCATCTCTACTCTCCAGATGGGCTCATCCAGTGAAGTGGCTGCTCTGGGAGTGAGCACAGTTGGGGCCAGGGGCTCAGAAGTGGGTTGGGGAGCTGGTGTAGAGAATCGACGTATCTCGTGGACTCTAGCGGTCTTAGAAGACCCTGGGGGAATAGGACTAGGGGTTGGAGGAATCTCATCAAAGCAGAACATGGCAGCTTTGAGTTGGTAGGGCTGGTGCCTCATGAAGTCGATGGCCTTGATGCCTGTCTTTGGGGTTGTTCGGGATCCCTGAGGCTGCGTTCGGCTGGGAAGGGTCCGGGCAGCCAGTGGGAAAAATGGAGAAAGCAGTGGATTGTAGGCAATGGGAGGTGGGGCACGGATATTGGGGGAGTATTTCCATGAAGGAGGCAATGAAGGGGTAGGAGAGGGGCTTCGGGGTCGGGAGCTAAAGATTGGGCCAGGACCAGGACCAGGACCAGGTGTGGTTTCCACTACATACCTATCTACCCGGCTCTGCCTCTTAGCAAATAGCTCTCCACCTCGGCCCTGTAGCCTAGGTGGTTCAGGGAGGACACCTGTGGAAGGGACAGTCCCATTCACCAGACCATCAGGAAGACCCTGGGGTGCAGGCTTGGGTGCCACAGGGGGTGGGGTCTTAGGTGCCATAGGGGGTGGGGTCTTAGGTGTCACAGGGGGTGGGGTCTTAAAACTTCTGCCGCCTGTAGGTTGCATGAAGTTGCAGGCTTCAGCCCCTAGGCTCAGGGCATCCTCTTCAGGACCAGACTCAGTCCCTCCTGCCCTAGGTTTCTCATCCAAGTTCTGTACCAATGACAGCAGCTCAGGGTTGGGCGAATTCTTTTTCTCTTCATTCCCTCCACGGAACATTTGTTTACGCCCTCCTCGGCGCCGTGCCTCCTGCAGGATGCCTGTGCGGGGAGCTGGCACAGATATTCTCTGCTCCCGGGTACTGGGAGCCTCAGGGGCAGGGTTACTTGCATTGAATGCCATGGGGAGTCCAGTAGGCCTCAGGGGAGAAGACAGGAAGATGGAAGCAGTAGAGGTCATGGCTGTGTTGTGAGAGGCCTGAGAGTCAGGGGGACCTCCTGGTGTAATGGGCCTATTTGGGGCAGGGATATATAAGGAGGTGGTAGCTGTCACTGGGCCTGAGGAGCCCTGGGCATTGGTGGAGACAGAGACTGGTATCTTTCCAGGATCCTTTGGGGTAGAGAAGCTGGGGAGTAAGGCTGGGACCCTGGGGTGATGACAAGAAGGGGGGAAGAACAGGACTGGGACTCCTGAGGCTTTCATTTGCCTTCTTTGGGGCGAGGGGACGGAAAACAACTGAAGTGGTAACTGGGCGCTGCCCTTGGAATCCTGGAGTGAATGGCCTTGCTGACCGATTGAAAATGCCTGCAGCTGGGGGAGGGGCTCCTCCCCCAGGGGCTAAAGGAATGGGACTGGTGGCAGGGGGTGGCATTGGGCTGGGGGGTAACAAGGCTACCTCTGGGGGGGTGCTCTGGGGCCGTGGGGGGGGAGGGCCCCTCCCATTCATCAGGGATGGGGGGGTATCACGAGGTTGTTCCAGGGAGCTAGAGGCTGCCCGCTGCCGTTGCTGCTCAAAAAGCCGTGCCCCTTTCCCTGAAGCTTCAGTGAGGCCACCCCCTGGCCCTGGTCCCTGCCCTTCTGCTGTGCCTGAACTTGAACGGGCCAGTTCCATGTCCAGATAGGGGCTATCCCAGTCTGACTGGTTAGTGAGGCTTCGAGCATCAGAGAAGGTCTCCTCCTCTAGCTCAGACTCACTGGTCGGGGGGATGCCGTCTTCCTCTTCCTCCTCACCCCCCCGCCCCAGCTCCCTCTCCTGCTGCAGCCCCAAAGCTGACCAGGGTGTACTTCTTGGCCCGTTGCCTCCTCTTCTTAAACATAAGCACACCCTTGGAGTGGGGGTTGGGCGCAGCTGTCAGCAGGGATGCAATCGTCCGGCATTTGGTCTTGGCCTCCTTTATGTTCTTCTCTTGGACGCTTTCTGTGCGCTGTAGTTCTGAAGGAAGTGAAGGGAGGGGAGTGGTCAGTGGGTGTTATGGAGCTTATGTGAGGTTCCCTCACCCTCTAAGAAGCCCTGTTCCCCACTCCAGACAGCTGAGTCCTGGGGGCTCTTCCTTGCCCAGGGCAGCCTCCTCTTTTCTTTACTCCTTACCCTCCAGGCCTTACAAGCCATATTGACCATCTGGTGTCTCCTACCTAAAGAAAAGCTCATCACCACACAATTTCTATTTCCTACATCCAAAGGCCACACACCCATCCATGTGTAGAGGTTGCTGCTAGGGGCTGAAGGTGAAACCAAGGGCAACTGGAGCAAAATCAGAAATAGCTGGCCTGATAAACCTCCCCTCAATGGTTGGCCTTTGCCCTCTTTCCAGTCCCTTGTCTCTGCTCTGCTTTTGTCCTCCCAAAGCAGTGCTCTATTTAGCTCCCTCCCTGCCCCCAACATTCCTAACCCTTCCCTGGCCTCTGTTTTTGACTGGTGTCACCTCTCACAGGCAGAGAGATAAAGCAAGGAGACAAAGAAGATAAGATGGGGCACCTTCCTCCTCCAGAGGGACCGGGTAAGAAGAGAATGCTGCCTGCCTTTACCCAACACAGACTAAATTGAACTGAACAAGAATTTACAGATTGGCTCTTATGCCCTGTAGTCACACATCCTGTCACATTCACTCATACACACTCCCATTTACACACATTCTACGTGTCCCTCTCTTGTGGGGAGAGAGGTCTCTCTGTATCCAGCTAACAATTTGTGAAGTGGGTCCAGCTGATTTTAGCTAACATACCCTTAAGCATAACCCCTCAAACTCCATACCCAATGCTACTCACAAGTGATGTGGGTTGTTGATACTTCAGAATCACCAGTTGAATTCCACCCTCATCCCCCAATCAGTGGAGGTGAAGGAGGCGATGGCATGAAAGATATTGTCCTCCTGGGCCAGAGCTGCCCTGAAGCCACTGCACCAGGAGGGAATGTGAACAAAAGGGAATACACAGCTGCTGTGCCTTCTCAGCACCATGGGGCAGGGCGGGGCCAGGAGATGAGAAAGGCATCCATCTGATGCCCAGTTCAGCCCATGACCCCGCCTAGGACTTAGATACTACCTATTCCTGGGTCCTCAGCCCATATCCCCCACTTTCTAGGCCCTTACTGTCCTTGCACTCAAGTTACCAAACCACTTCATTGTTAGGGCCCTACCCCAATCCATCAAACACATCATAGATTCTTGACATGTACATATACATACATTCTCACTCTGGGCTCTCATCCTTACACATTTTCTCTGTTCACATGGAACCATACAAACGCTTACACACATGTTCAAAAATAAGCACTCTCGAATGTGTTCTCACTCTTCTCCACACACATTCACCTGTTCTCCTCATGTGCCCTATATTACAAAGGTATGCCCATAAACACTTTCCCTGATGTGAACATCAGCCCATTTCTGGAAAAAGGAGGCAGCCTCAGCTTGTTATTCAAGGAAGGGGGAAGGAGAACAGGAAAGATGAGGGAGAGAAGAGATGCAACCTTTCCCTTAGACCTCCTACCCCTGGTTCCCCATGATACCCTACCATCCCAGTTCTTGTGCATCCTTTCAATATGGGTGGGTGTTACCTGCATATGGTTGGTCCTGCCGCCCAGATCCAGAGCCTGGGGCCTTGTCCCAGCTGGCTTGGCTGAGGGGCTCCTGGCTGAGAGGTTTGAAGGTCTCCATGCTGATCAGGGCACTGTTGTTTGGAGCAGGACCAGCTTGGGCCTTCCCCAACACCTTTTAAAGCCTCTTTGTCTTGGCCTCAGAGCTGGCAGCTGAGTGAGCTCATTGGGTTATTTTTGGTCCTCAGTCCCCCTCCCCTAACCCCACCCCACCACAAGTCCTGCTATGATGGACATAGGCATCTGCCTACCTCCCAGCAAACAATGAATGTCTTGGGCCAGCAGCATGAGAACTGCCTGGTTAAAAATATCCCTTGCCCATAGAATAATATGCTAGGAGTTGAGGGGCAAGGGGGAGGAGATGGAGGATAGGAGACAGAGATAAGAATTTCAACAAGGGTGAAACACTAGGCATGGAGCCTTGTTCGAGATGTGGAAGTCTCTTTATATGGTTTAGAAACCTTCTAGGGATCTGAGACTCTGTCTAAATCATGGTGCTCTGTCCACCTAAACCCTGAACTGTGAAGTTCTGTGGTCCTGAAATCTGGAGTTGGGATAGTGGCTAGGGAGGAAGTTAGGCTTCTGACATGCCAGAGAAGTCCTGGGGGTGGTCCTCTCAGACCCTGTTCTATAGTCCACACCAAAAATAGCAAAGAGCCTGAGATAAGTGGTACTTACTGGCCTTCTCTGCACAGATCCACATTCTTGCCAGAAATGAAGAGCTGGAGACCTCTCTCTTTGCCCTTCCCCACTTACCAGGTCTCCCATGATCTCACCCTAGTTTCACAGTCTCCATTATTTCTAACGCTGCTTGCAAATTCTCTTGACTCGTTCTCCCAACTTTATTTACCAGCTCTGATATCGTACCTACAAATAACCCTGACGTTTTCTGACATGACCTCCAAACACTCCCCATGTCTATCTGCCCCTGCTGTGCCAGACTGCAAACATCTCTGCATCTGTTCATACTCCCTCCTCTCCTTCCCCAGGGTCCCTTTCTGGCTCTTGAGTTGATCCAGTGGAGCCTTCTCACTATCCTGAATCAAGGAGGGGAGAAAACCCACACCCAAATGGGGGGAGCAGGGAAATGGTCATCATTCCCTTTTACCGCTACCACTTCTCCTTGCCTATTTTCTCAGAATAAATTCAAGGGAAAAAGATGAGGCAGGCAGAAGGAAAAGCCTAGAATGTGGGCTTAAAGAGAGATTTGGGTTCCAAGCTTTGAGGAAGGGTGTCTGTCACTCACTGGCTTGCTTGGCTTTCTGGGTGTAACTGGTGGTGAGATCATCAGCCACTGGGTGAGGCACAGGCCCCACCATGGGGATGAGATGGGGCCCAGGTTGGAGCGGGCCATGAGGTAATAACAGAGCTTCAGCTGGAGTCGGTTGAATAGATGTCCCATCTTCCCAGGATGGAGAGCTCACACGGCTGCCTCCCAGAGCTGGGGACTCCAGAGAGGCTGGGGCAGGCTCTGCAGGGCTGTCAGATAAAGACACCTCTTCCGGTGGGGCCCCTGGAGGTGTGGGCCTGGTGGGACCTCGGCGACGGGGACGACGGGGCTTCTCCTGGGTGGCAGAGCCATCCACATCACTGTCTGTTTCCCCATAATATGCCTCACTGTCTGGGGGTGATCGGAGGCTTCCGGGCTGTAGAGGCTGAGGCGCTGCAGTCCCGGGGGGCTCAGGACTCAGTGGGGATAAAGGGGACAGCACCCGAAGCTCACCAGGGGATGGAGAACGCACAGGCGCTACATCTCCTACCCTGTGGATAGGAGAGAGAAATGTAATGTCAGGTCACAAGAGGTGGATTGGATAAAGAAGGGAAAATGAGCTGACAAACAACTAGAAATGGACTGAGGAAGGAAGAGACTTTGGTCAAAGTGCAGAAAACGGGCTTAGAACATAAGGGCAGGTCTAGCAGGGCTGGGGGTGAAAAGGACAAAACAAGAAAAGAGGCTGAGGGAGAAAAAGGGTGATACAGGAAGATGTGGTACGATGTGGGCAGAAGGAGGCTGAGAGGAAGACAGGCTGGGAAAGAGGTGGGCCAGGTGTGAGAGAAGCCCCAGCATTCACACAAATATGCCCCAGTCATGGACGCTTCTCCCAGCCCCGACATTCACACTGTCACACACACATACCAGCCACAAATAGCCACAGGCAAATGAGAATTTAGGAAGCTGAGAACTGAGAATGGTTGTGAAAAAGAGCCCAGAACAAGGGAAAGGTATGGGACCTGTGCTGGGCAGATGGCCACGGACCAAGGAGGGGTCAGGTATCCATACCTCCGCACGGTAAGGATGAGCTGGGCCCCTGAAGCATCGATGAGGTTCATGGCGCTGGCATGGGAAAGACCCGTGCAAGCTGCTCCGTTGATAGACAACAGCTGGTCCTGTTCTCTAAGCCCTGCTCGGCCTGCCTGACTTCTCCTTCGAATCTGAGGGAATAGAGGTTAGACAAACAGAGTGAGATGGTGTAGAGTAAGGAACACACATTGGGAGGGAGGAAAGGCCACAACGTATAGGAAGTTTTATGCTACTGAGCAGGTAGGAGCAGAGATTGTAAAGGAAAGGGATGAGCATGGAGGCTGAGGGAATGGGGCAGATTCAGCAGATGAACCATTGTATGTAGGGAAGAAATCAGAATTTTGCATGAGGAAAAAAAGCTTGGGAATGCCATAAAGAGGAGGAGTTAGATCATAATGGGTTTCTCCCTACAAGGCTGCTTTCTCTGAGTTGTACCCACATTGACCAATAACTCCTGAGTTCAAATCCTGACTCTGCTGACTACTTGTGCAACTTTGGACAAGTTACAACATCTCTGTGCCTCAGTTTCCATATCTGTAAAACAAAGGTAGTTGAAGTAGAGGATCTCTTTAAATCTATGGTCCTGTGATCCTCTCTGGCCCTCAGGATCCTAAAATATCCACATAGTGAGAGAAGATACCCCCATGACAACAACCAAATCTTAGAGTGCTCAGGAGAATTATGTGTGCAGAATATTATCCTCTGAACTGCCCAGGATTGTACCCAGATCTTCCCTTTTCTCCCACTTCCTTATGAGTCCAGCTGATTACTCTCTCCAAATCTGTGCAATATCTGAGCCTGACAAGATTAGTCAGGTCAACAGATTAGCATGAGTCCCTCCCCAACTGCCTGAAGCTGCAGGTATATGTGTACGGGGATGAAGTAGGGGACAGACCGTGCAGACCGAAGTCTGGGTGCCAGGCTTTGGGGTCTAACACCTATGGAGTCCCACAGAGCTAAGGCAGAACCTACCTTCCTTTCTATACCCAGGACTGTGTCCAAAAGCCCCTATATGAAGTCAGGTGCTCAGATCCACCTCCCTTCACTCAAATGTGAACAGCAGTTTCCCCCCCACTAACCCTTTCTTTCCTTACAAGGAAAGCCTTCTGCAGCTATCCCCAGACCCCTCCCCATATTCCCCTTCCTTGCATCCATCCCCTAACCCTGGGTCTTTCTTACCTTGGACACCTGCAAAGGTTTCCTCTGCTCAGCACCTCCTTGTAGTCGGAAGCCCCAGGGAGCTCCCCCTGACAGCGTGACCTGAACCTCTTCCTCACCACCCATCGTTTAGCTCAGCCTGTGGCCCTTGCCTTTTAGAGACTGTCCCAAGAAAAAAGTTGAGGGGTTAGAACCCCTGTCCTTCCCGTCTGTCTTGCTACTGCTACCAATCTCTAGGCCTTTCCTACCCCTCCCCCCAGTTGGGTAGCTTATCCCTTGGCTCAGTACTGCCCGGGACATATGTCCCGTCAATCGGAGCTGTGCTCAAAATAGTTGTTGGCTCACCCCCGCCCCAACTCCTTGGGCTGTGCCACTCCAAGGGCTAATTTTAATCAAAGCTCTTTGCCCTGCCATGTTCTCCATGTGTCTTCTGCTCAGGGCTCACAACCCCTACCCTCCAGGCCCTACTGTAATGCTAATGCCTCTAGTTACTTTTCCTTCTCCACTGTTTGGTGGGCCAACTGACAATGCCCCTTCACAAACACAAATAATAACAGCTATTCCAAGAGCCCTAATGCCCTGATTTCTGATAAGAATCTGGATCCTTTGCAGATAATAGGCCTCCTTCTTCTTTTAGCCTTCATGCTTCCAGCTTTGAATCATCTGATTCAAGACCAATTTCTGGTATGCATCTCAGTCCACTAGATTTTAAACCTAAGGGTTTTGCATCCCTATCTAAAGAAGATGAAGCTTCTATTTCCTTTCCTAAGCCTCCAGTGGACCCCGTGAAGATTAGAAGAGTAAGCAATGCTGGGGCACGTTTATTCAAGGCATCCTCTCAGGGAAATCTCCTTCCAGACAAAATAGTTCATGTTGATGAGTCAAAGAAGAGATTGAAATCTGAGGACACCATTATCACATGGGATTCTTCAATTAAAATAAATGGAATTTGCCTGACAGAATTAAATTCCTTTGATCACTTTAACAGTAATAATTCTCAGTTAACACATGATGGAGAGTTAAATAGCCAGATTCTTTTTTTTTCTTTTTTAAGGCAATTGGGGTTAAGTGACTTGCCCAGGGTCACACAGCTAGTAAGTGTTATGTGTCTGAGGTCGGATTTCAACTCAGGTCCTTCTGACTCCAGGGCCTGTGCTCTATCATCTGCGTCACCTAGCTGCCCCAAATAGCCAGTTTCTTATTAGAAATGTCCATCTACTCCCAACCCTTTGGACGATTATCCAGAGTCCCCAGGAGAGGCTTGTTGTACCTGACATGACATCTACCATTGTTACTACTACTGTTGCTGCTGCTACTGCTGCTACTACTACTGCTGAGGTGTATGGGGTGTTCAGGAGGACTAGCACCTGTGGTATGAGGGCTTGCTGAGCCTTTTCAGGACGGTTCATTCACCTTTGGCGTCCTCCTGATTCACCCAACTCTCACCTGTGCCTCCAAGAATCTGTAGCATTTGAAGTGGTCACACACTGGTAAAACCATCTCAACAGACAGGCTAAACCAGGGTGAGGGTAACTGACAGGCCTCAGACCTGATGGTGAGTGAGGGGGGTGTCTACCCCAAATATGTGATGACTTCTCCCCGTGGAGTGAACAGATGAGAACAATTGATTCCAACGACTATGAAGGTGGCTGAAGCAGGTACTGTGGAGTGCTTAGAGCTTGGTCAGGCATTGAAGATGCCAAGGTCATCCACTGCACCCTGGGCCACTGCTGGTCATCCTGACTTTTGTCTTGCCATTGGACTTCTTTGATTCTGGAAGAGAGAGTGAGGCTGATGACTTAGTGCAGTTCTGCCTCACTAAAATCCAATTCAAGCACAAGTGAAGAAATCACCTATGATGTCATTGGTTCTCTTCAAAAATGGAGGACAAACAACAATTGCTGCTGATGCTACCGCCACCATTTTGCCCCCTTATTTCATCATCATCATCATCATCATCTTCTTCTTCTTCTTCCACTACTATTCCTACTCCTACTTCTACCCCTACTACTACCACTACTACTACTACTACTACCACTACCACTACTACTACTACTACTACTACTACTACTACTACTACTACTACTACTACTACTACTACTACTACTACTCACTCCTCTTCCTCCTCCTCCTCCTCCTTCTTCAGTGGAATGGTTGCCTTGGAAGGTAGGTTTCTTTTCATTAAATGTCTTCAAGCAGGCCCCAGTCACTAAGCCGCCACCACCAAGGGCTCAGCAGCCCTCAAGCCCCCTCTCCTGCTGACGCTCTTCGACCCCCCTACTCCCTTCCCCCCACCCCTGCCTGCCTGCCTTCTCCCACCACCGCCTTCCGAAGGCCATTTCCACTGAGGAAAAGGAATTGTATAGTATGACTGCTATCCAGAACCTCCACTCTTTTGACCCCTTTGCTGATGCAAGTAAGGGTGATGACGTGCTTCCTGCTGGGACTGAGGATAATATCCATATAAGAATTCAACAGAGAAATGGCAGGAAAACCCTCACTACAATCCAGGAGATCACTGATTATGGTAAAAAGAAACTAGTGAAGGCATTCAAGAAGAAATTTGCCTGCAATGGTACTGTAATTGAGTATTCAGAATATGGAGAAGTAATTCAGCTACATCAGTGCAAGAACATATACCAGTTCCTCTTGGAGACTGGACTGCCTAAGGACGACCAGCTGAAGGTTCATGGGTTTTAAGTGCTTGTGGCTCATTGAAGCTTAAGTGAGGATTTCCTTGCAATGAGTAGAAAAATTCCCTTCAGTCCCTTGTCACAAGTTTAAAAACCTCACAGCTTGTATAACGTAACCATTTGGGGTCTGCTGTTTAACTTGGACTAGTGTAACTCATTCATGTAATAAACTGAAAAGAGCCAAAAAAAACAAAGTCTTCAAGCAAAGACTGAATGACCATTTGTCCTGTGTATTGTAAGGGGTGTGCTTGTTCTGGTAGGGTTGGACTAGATGGTGTCAGCAGTCCCTTTCAGCTCTAAGGTCCTGTATTTGTTACTACTCTCCTGCTACACAAGATCCTGTGCAGAGAATTTCTCTCTAAGCAGCCCTCTCTCCTATAAGATACACGGGATCAATAAGGACAGGTGGACACAGATAGGTAGAGCCCAATAAGCAGACACAGATAAGTACATTGTCAAGTCACAGACAGAGAAGTGGGATGATACTCTGGATCATCCCATAATGGGCTTGAGAGATTGTAGATAATGGGGCTGAGGCTCTATGCATCTTGAGTAGGGAGATGGATAATAGGAAGCTTGACAATGGATGCTTAGATCCACACCCTGGGCCTAGATTTTGATGAGACATCTGGCCACTCAAATCTCTTCTCATCTACAGAACATCTCTTATCATAACAGTTCAGAAAATTAAAAAACAAACAAACAAACAAACAAACAGGTTTAAGTACCCACTGTTGTAGAATTAGATAAAACATTATCCTGAGCTTTCCTGGAATTTGTAGTCTGGTAAGTTAGACATGAAAAGACCAAGTAGTTCAGAAGAAAATTTTCAGTGGGAAGATGACTATGCCTCACATATAATTAATACTTAATAGATGTTTTTTCATTCATTCATGCTTCAGAGGAGCTAAGTTTAGATATTAATCCTGACACTTACTGAGCGAATTCAGGTAGCTCACCTAATCTCTGGGTTTTAGAATTTTCTTTTGTAAAATGGGTGGGTAGTGAGGGAGTTGAACTAAAATGAGGGAATTCTTTCATTATCCCTAAGATGGCTTTCATATGTCTATGATCTTGTGACACATATACAAACTATGGTACAAATGAGTACACTGTACAAAAGAACTATAAGCATTTGTTGTTGTTTGTCCTTTATTCTCAAAGAGGACCATGACGTCAAGAAGGTGATACCATGACTGGCAGGTGAATTGGATTTAAGTGAGGGAGGGCTGTGCAAAGTCACCAGCCTCACTTTCTCTTCCAGAGCAGTCTGGGTCCAGTGGCAAGATATTGATCAGGATGACTGGAGATGGTCAGAAACAACTACTAAGTAAGATCCAAAGGGGTTTCAATACTAAGTGGGACGAGGAAAGGCTTCCTTGAGGAGATAACACAATACGGGGCTGAAAGAACGGGCCAGAAATCTCTCAGGTCAGGCTTGGTGGTGGGTGGTAAGGGAGAGGCCGTTCAAGGAATAGAGAACATCATGAACAAAGGTATCGAAATAGGAAATTGTGGCATGAAACTCACATGTATCAATTAAGAAGCAGATCCGTTTGGCTAGGCAGGGGCTGGGAAACTGCAGCCTTGGTGCGACCCTTTGACTGAATCCAAATTTCACAGAACAAATTCTCCTTTTTAAAAAAATGTTTAAATGTTTTTATTTTTTTGTTCCCCTTCTCCCCCCATTTTCCTGTAGGGTAAGACAGATTTCCATACCCAATTGAATGTGTATGTTATTCTCTTCTTAAGCCAAATCCTATGAGAATAAGATTCACTCATTCCCTCTCACCTTCCCCTGTTTCCCCTCCACTGTGAGAGACTTTTCTGGGTTTTTTTTGTGAGATAATTTACCCCATTCTACCTCTCCCTTTCTTCTTCTCTGAGTATAATCCCCTCTCATCCCTTAATTTAATTCTCCTGATATGACCCCTTAATCTTCAACTCACCCTGTGCCCTCTGTCTATCTATCTATATATACATACATACAATTTTTTTCCTCCAACTACCCTAATACTGACAAAGGTCTCATGAGTTACAAATATCATCTTTCCAGGCAGGAATGTAAACAGTTCAATCTTAATAAGTCTCTTATGATTTCTCTTTCCTGTTTACCTCTTCATGTTCCACTGGAGTCCTGTATTTGAAAGTCAAATTTTCTATTCAGCTCTGGTCTTTTCATCAAGAATGCTTGAAAGTCCTCTATTTCACTGAATGACCATTTTTTCCCCTGAAGGATTATACTCAGTTTTGCTGGGTAGGTGATTCTTGGTTGTAATCCTATCTCCTTTGCCCTCCAGAATATTATATTCCATGCCCTGTGGTCCTTTAATGTAGAAGCTGCTAAATCTTGTGTTATCCTGATTGTGTTTCCACAGTACTTGAATTGTTTCTTTCTGGCACCTTGTAATATTTTCTCCTTGACCTGGGAACTCTGGAATTTGGCTATAATATTCCTAGGAGTTGATATTTGGGGATCTCTTTCAGGAGGAGATCTGTGGATTCTTTCAATTTCTATTTTGCCCTCTGGTTCTAATATATCAGGGCAGTTTTCCTTGATAATTTCTTGAAAGATGATGTCTA